GAATATCCTTTGAATGCCGCTAAGCGTTCTCTAATCCACCCAACCTTGTCGTTTGTAGATTTGAAAGTTGCGTCATCGTGGAAGGCCCAGTTACTTGCATGGTGAATGTAAATGAGGTCCCTTGTTCTTACTGCCTCCTCAGGCAGAGCTCTAACAATGGTCGACCTGCCCCCCTGATGTACAATCCTGTTTTCTGGGGTAGCCAGGAAACGGGAGAGAAAGAAGGCCCCTGCTGTTGTCAAATTCCCTACAGGGATCTTCCATTCCCCCCCCCCCCCCCTCGCTCAGACCCTCCTTCCTGCGCTTGACTGTGATGTTCGCTTGGGCAGACTGTTCTTTAACCCTCTCCGCCCAGGTTCTGACGGTCGAGCCCTGAGAGGACGAGCATATGGTAGGTTTAGTTTCGGTAGATGATGTCATTTCCTTCTCCTTTGCCTGATCCCCCCCATTATCGGCCCTCAGCATCTGGTTTTGGTTCTGATTTTGGTTCAGATTTCCCTTGGAAGCATTATCCCTTTCCCCCATAAGACGGTTCTGGGCATAATGTCTGGCCATCCCTCTATACAACAACATAGAATCCAGTCTCTTATGGGCGCGTTGGTGGCGAGTCTTCATGTTGTTGTTCACCATTCCGCGCTGTCGCACGCCCGGAAGGGTGGGAGGACGGTAAGGGGGAATACAATCGGGGAAACCGGGCTTGGAGGGAAGGGTCGAGATTAAGACGAAAGAGGGACGGGAGGGGAGAGAGATCCGGGTCGGGGTCAGTGTCGGAGATAAGTGGGGGGGGGTCGGAAATAGCAGTGGAAGGTCAGATCCGGATCAGGATGGGGATGGGAGGCAGTTGGAATCTGAGAGGAATGGGGGGGGGGGTCGGGAACAGGGGTGAAGGGAGATCGGGATCAGGGGTGGTGGATCAGATCCGAATCGGGATGAGGACGGGAGGCGGTCGGAGACTGAGAGGATTGGGAGGGAGATGGGGAACAGGGGTGGATAGGATCAACTGGGTGGAGAGGGTCAGATCCAGGTCTGGGTGGGAGGGTCGGAATAAGTCCGGGATGGGGGGATACGGGTGTGGAACCGGGGGGGGACAAGGAACGGGGGCGGGGAGAGTGGGGGGATGGGAAGCGGGGGGGACGGGGGGGGGGGACAGGGGGGGGGAAGATGGGGGAAGGGGAGTGACGGGGAGGGGGGGAGATCGCGAGGGGGGGGCGCAAGGGAGGTGGGAGATGGTGGAGATGGTGGCACGTGGAGAGGGGAACCCCGATGGTGATTAGCGGCTCTGAGCGACGATCAGGGATACGGGCGCGGAACTGCGGTGGGACAAGGAACGGGGGCGGGGAGATTTGGGGAATGGGAAGCGAGGGGGACGAAGGGGAGCGACAGGGGGGGGGAAGATCGCGAGGAGGGGGCGCAAGGGAGGTGGGAGATGATGGCACGTGGAGAGGGGAACCCCGATGGTGATTAGCGGCTCTGAGCGCCGACGGAGGGGTTGGTCGGGGTCAAGAATTGAGGTGTCGGGATCACAGACCGGAGGTCGAGACCAAGAAGTGAATGGATTGGGGGGGGGCGGGGGATAAT